TACTGGTGGTCCAGCCATTGAGGTCCTTGTCTAGGTTCTCCTTCTTATAGAGTGACAACATTCTTTTCCTGTCTACAAATAGTGCTCCTGCATTGTCACCTATTTAAAAAAATCCCTGATGGTCAGGGGCATCACAAGGCAGGGTGTCACTTGGAGCGGGTACCGGGTGACACCCCACTGTGATGCCATTGCGCCTGATGTCATTACGCACACGCAACGTCATCACGCATGCGCAACGACGTCACGCATTGTTACCTGCAGGCGGCCATCTTGGTGATGGATGCTGGCAGAGAGAGGAGGGGAAATTCACCCGGCAGGATAAGGTATGCCGCCGGGTCCCATCCTCCTTCGAGAAACTTTCGGGCTCTCAGCCCATGACCAAGTGCCCGATATTTCAGAGGCTCTAATGGTGTCGCCCGGGTGAGGGTCGCACCCCTCTAGTGATGCCACTTCTAGTGGTCCTGCCATTGAGGTCCTTGTCCAGGCACTCTTTGTTACAGGGTAACAACTCTGTCTTTGTCTCCCAATCGTGCCCTTGCGTTGTCGCCCATTAAAATAATCCCCGGTGGTCTTGCCATTACGGTCCTTGTTCAGGCACTTCCTGTTATAGAGTGACAATGCTCTGTCCTTGTCTCCTAATTGTGCTCATGTGTTGTCACCCTGTCATACAGCAGCTCACAAGTGGCCATTTCAACCCACGTTACAGAGGCATGGTCCACTGTTGTCACCATCAGGAAACTCACCCTGAGAAAAGGCATGCACCCATCGCTGGAGTGCATGTAGACAGGAAGTGGCTGTAGAGAGGCTGCAGGAGATCAGCGGCACTGAGATGGGGAAAGCGTATAAAAGAAAAGATTTTCTTTTACCGCGTTGTGCCAAATGTAAAGTTTGGTGGAGGTGGGGAGGAACTTGACTGGCCTGCACAGAGTCCTGACCTCAACCCCATATAACACCTTTGGGATGAATTAGAGCGGAGACCGCAAGCCCCTCCCCCAACATCAGTACCTGACCTCACAAATGGTCCAACGTTCCCATAGACACACTCCTAAACCTTGTGGACGCCTTCCCAGAAGAGTTGAAGCTGTTATAGCTGCAAAGAGCCAACCCAATACTGAACCCTACGGACTAAGACTGGGATGCCATTAAAGTTCATGTGCGTGTAAAGCCAGGCGTCCCAATACTTTTGGCAATATAGAGTATGAAGCCATTCACAAATCAGCAGACGGCCTACAATGTATCCGCTGCGTCTACCAGCTTCCCGATAATGTTATAATGTAAGAGTGATCCTCTCTGGAAGCGGCCATATTGAAGAAGTCTTTGTTGTGTCCCAGTGCAATGCTTACCAGCTATAGAGTCAGATGGTTGAAACCTGACACCAATGACTTTCCACTGCCGACTTCCCAGCAACATCAAGAGCCGTGTATACAGTTGTATCAATATTGAAAGAGTTTCATCCTCCTCTGCAACACTGTTATCTTGTTCCGCATGCGACGCTTCCCCTTTAACCCGAAGCTTCTCACTAAGCATACATAAAGACAGGTAATGTCAAACGCGTTGCAGCATCGTTACGTCCCAAACGCGCCGGCAGCACATTGTCTCCGCCAGTTGGCCAAACGCATTCTTTCGTCAGTTATTAGCGGAATGGCTTCATTTCATTAGGATAAGCTTCGCCGTCGGCGCACAAGTGGCCTGATTTGCACATAACAATTACCCAGCTAATAAAGATCAAAATGGAATGCGTTCTCCTCCCCCACAATGCGCTGGGGCTCGGCGGAACGCTTGGCATTTCTCAGCCGAAATGTCACCGATTTTCCTGAGAGATAACGCTATAAATTCTGCTTTGGTGTCGGAGCAGAAACAGGCCGAGCGCTTCGCATTAAATGCCGGCAATAACGGATATTGGCGCTCGGGGAACGCCGACGTGCCGGGTTTTATGAGGCGTGAGGCGGCAGCTACGCGGGCCGATGACATTGAAATGAGCGTCTCCGGCTTTTAAGTGGGGAAAAAACTTTGGGGGATCTTTAGAACTAATAGGATTGCAGATCGAGAGGGGGGGGGGAACAACAAGAAAGGGACAGGCGGATATGTTCGGCGTTCAATGAAGTCATGTGACCGTCTACACATCGGTCGGAACTCTCAATTGCCTTTAGGTGGGACTCCAGTTGGTTCATATTCTAAGGGCTCGTTCACACTGTAATCGGCGCGCACGTACAACTCTGTGCTGCGTGCGCGGCGGTATCGGGCAGCTCCCGGGAAGGACAGGTGCCGCCTGTGATTAGTACGCAACCCCCGTCCTTCTCTATGTGAGTACGCTGCCGTATGCTCACCTGACCTGCATGTCCGTGCGTGTCCCAGTGTCCGTACTCGTACGCTGACAGGATGGATCCTGTCTGCGTCCGAGCCAGGAAACACGCACCCGCACGGACCTGCACTTGGGGTGAGCGTAGGGCTGCGTAGTCCCACACGCAGTACCCGTCCTTCCCGGGAGCTGCCCGATACGGCCCTGCACGCAGCACGGAGCTGTACGTGCGCGCAGATGACAGCGTGAATGAGGCCTAAAACAGGAAATGCAGTGTGGGTTTAAAGTGGACCGGTCATCAGATTTATTGTTTCATGTTAGTAGTAGGGAGCCAATCCCTGTCCTTGCTCTGCTGCTTCTCCTTTCACTGTCTAGTCGCAGGCTGGGGACAGGTCCAGGGGTTCAAAGGAAGTGGGTTGGATGATGCCAGCTATCAGTCTGAGGACATCTAGTGGCAGAAAAAAGTAATGCGTTGGGGAAATCTCTGGATTGAAGGGGAACATTGCTGCAAAAGCTTTGTGATTTTATCTTTCAATAAGCCGTTCATGTTATTGTGTTATTTTTAGCTTCTGTGTTTTGGGACTGGCTGACCAAGCCGTCTTTTTAGCTGCCTTCCATTGCGCTCACTGGCGGAACTACCAGGGTCCCAGCGGTCGCAATTGCAAAAGTTCCGCCACTTGGGGGGCCCTAGCGAAGAAGTGCACTGCCCGAGGGCCATGGCTAGGGGGTTAGATAAGGTAAGTGATTTAATCTCTGTGCCTGTATGTTCTGTGAGTTTGTAGTCCTGTATACCTGATGGAACTTATCTGCATTTCTGTATAAATTATTACTGGCAGTTGTAGTCCTCTATAGCTGGCACCATTCTGCATTGCAGCAGTGCAGAATGGCATCAGCTATAGAGGACTACAAGTCCCAGCATGGCGAGCCGGGGGGGGGGGGGGGGGCCTTCATGGTTTCTTGCACCGGGGCCCTGAAGGTTCTAGTTACGCCACTGATTGCGCTCCCACAACTTTGTAATAAATTGCATTGTCTGAACTGCCAGTAGATTTTCCTTCACACAGGTAGGGTTGCCACCTTTTCTTCCAGCGAAACCCGAACACTCTAGCGCCGCACGGAAATTTTTTGAGTCATAAAACGTATTCATATGTAAATAGCGCCACCCATTCATATGTGATAGCACAGTTGATTTTCAGTGGGGGGCCAGTAGCCCCTATATTAATTTTGGTTGGCCCTGTATGCCTGACATCTTGTGTCTGGGGTTTCAGCTGCCATGAAACCCAGACACAGCATTCAAAACCCGGACTGTCCAGGTAAATCCCGGACCGGAGACAACCCTACACAGAGATTAGGCACATCCACATTGACTTCCTGCACAGGAAGCGGATAATCCCAACACGTGAGCATATCTCCCCGCCCTGTACACAGTATATACACTGATCAATGTGATCTAATATCCGGTATTATTTCCTGTACTCAATCATGGCTCTTCTCTCCTCCATGGCAGTGATGGGGGCAATCGTCTGAGAAATTGAATAATAACACTTTTTCAGCATCAAAAGACATATTTTATGAACGGCTACACCCACAACAAACATTTTAAATATGGAAAACGAACATTCCTGTACAGCCCCGCACTCGTTCTAATTTTGTACGTTTGCATGTTACGAAGGCTCATCGTTGATTGTCTAACAGCCTAATAAAGTTTTATTTCCTAAAATTAACAAAACAAAAAAAAAAAGGCTTAAGATCTCTTCAAGCATTCTAAGAGATCAGGGCTAGCCAACCTCGGCACCTCCAGCTGTTGTGGAACTACAAGTCCCATGAGACATTGCAAGACTGACAGCCACAGGCATGACTACCAGAGACTAAGACATGGTGGGATTTGTCATTTTAGCACAGCTGTAGTGCCAAGGTTGCCTACCCCTGGACTATACGGTCATTATGGCATGGGATTTGGCTAATATTCAAAGGCCAGGCGCGTGTAATGACTTACCTTATTTCTGGTATCAGGAAGCCGGGGCGGCGAGTCATTACACTCTGCCCGGCTTCCTGATTGCCTGGGAAGCCGGCTCCATGCTCCTTCGTCACATGGGAGCATGAAGCTGGCTTCCCAGCCAATCAGAAACTAGGGCAGTGGGTAATGACTCTGGCTTCCTGATTGGCCGGAAGCCTCTGGTGACGAGGGAGCATGGAGCCAGCTTCCTGATACTGGAAGTTCTGATATCGGTATAGGCATCAGGAGCATTTGCGCGAGTACGATTACTCGCCCAAATACTCCTTATCGGTACCGATGCCAGTATCGGTATAGGTGCATCCCTTCCTTTAATACTTACCTGTCCCTCCATGGCCATTGCTCTCTTGCACAGCTTAAGCTTGCTGAAGGATCTTTAGCAGCGGATACTTTAGGGCCTGCAGGTTGTTTTGGTGTCCTCTGTGGTTTGATCCACCGGCCTCTACATCAATACAGGGCCTAGTAGGATTATAGGGGCTGGTGGGATGGACCCCAGCACTCGACGGGAGGGGTGGAAGGCAGGTCTCTGAAACATGTGGAAGTGCATTGGAAGACTTTTCAGCAAACTTCAGCTCTTCAAGGGAGATGGGAGGCAGGACAGGTAAGTATTAATGATCTTTTTATAGGCAGACCTTATTTTAAAAGGTATTACTCTAGCTACAGAGTCTCTGTAAGGCACAACCTCATAAATAAAACCAACAGACACAGTATCAGTCTTAGGCAGTGTTAGATAACATGAGCTGCGGACCTACATCGTGGTGATTTTCGTCAACCTTTGTTCGGACTCTAACATTATTTGGTTGTTCGGTTTCCCATCAGAAGACACAGTTGAGGCATCTGTAGTGCTTTTCTTCACCTTGATGGTCTGAACAGTGGTACTGATGGTAACCTCGGTCTTGGTATTTGACGTGATGGTTTTTTCAGAGGTGGTTGTCGGTACATTGGCCTCAGATGGCGACACTGCCGCCACAGGTTGGGCCATGTCATCCGGCTCAATAATAGTCACTGAATTTTCCTTCTTGGGAAGCCAGATGGCTGCATACAAGGGTTCTGCAAAAGTTCCCTCAAACTTGTGCAGGAGCGTCATCACGTCGGTCACACCATAGAATGCCACGGTTCCTCTCTGGTGGTCAATATAGACGCCGATCCTGGAAAACTTCCCCGATATTATCGAGATCGCTACATCCTTGTGCCAGGCTGAGAACTCTTTGCCGTTCCACTTTAGGGTCCAGGAGAAGTCGTTGCCTGTTATGGTGCTGTTGCTCTCCGCACCCTTCCTGTCAATGCATTTATAGGTCACGCCGATGTGGAAGGCCTCGCCTTTGAACTCTGCTTCAAAATAGTGGCGGCTCATGTAAAAGCTTTCTGCACTGAGGACCTGGTGGACGTTCTCAAACCGTTCCGGGAGGTCGGGGTAGGCCTGCTGCCACGGGGAAGAGTTGGAGACTTTGCGGTTGTTTTGTAACAGTCTCAGAAAACAGTGAGCCGTCGCTGGGTCCAGTGTAACAATCGATTTATCTGCAGGGGAAGAAAGGTAGAAAATATAACATGGATATATACAATTGGACACTTATCAAAACTGGAGGGGGAAAAAAAGCATAAAAAAGGTGAGTGCTAGTGATAACTGACCAGAGGGAACATCAACAATTCCAAGGCAATATAATCTATGTCCCAGATCTCTCCAACATAACCAAAGCCCCGATGAAGGAGAATCTTTGTTTAACCCGAAACATGTTTGTTCTCATACTTTTAAGGAAATCTTTGTTGTGAGAAATAAATATGACTGACTCCTACAACTTGGCACTTCACTTAACACATTTTCGTTATCCCAGGGGCCACAGTACAGCTACCCTAGGGCACTAGAAAGCAGCCTAAATGCAATAACCATCTAATGGGAATCCTCACCAAATTTGTAGTCCAGAGATTCACCACCCCAACCTCAAAATGTCCTTGCAGGACCATCTTAAAGGGTGCTTGTGGCTTCCTTGAGCCTTGCCAACTGCCTGCACAGCTGTTTTCTTCTCAAAGCGCGATTAAGCCCCAGAACAGGGCGGTCTGGTATGCAAACATGGACAATGGGTCTGATAGTGGAACTCTGGTCCACCCTTGATGCTCTTCAAGCGTACCTAATCGATGCTAAATCTAATGGATAACCATACTGACCCAAAAGGGAGGTGCAGGAGGCAAGAGGGTCAGACTAAAGAATGACCGTTAGAGCTCTGGTTGGCTCTGATTGGACTCAAAAGATACTGTAACCCAAAGGATCGCTATATGATTTGATGAAAGGACCTCCCTTAGGGGTGGAATGGTAATGTAAATATATATATATATATATAGTATATACACACACACACATATACAGTACACGTACATATATCAATCATCTTTTCAGTCCAATCCAATCCTTATCCCATTCTAAGCCCTGATGGATGGGGAAGTGTTGTTGCCCCCTGAAACACATTGGATGTCTTTTGTTTATTCGGATTGTGAACAAATAAAGGCACTCCCTGTGGTTGGGCACCCTTGATTTATGAACTGCAGCAAACTATGAGATTCAAAAAGTAATGATCCAGAGCAAATGCAATTAGGATCAGCTGCAGTAGACAAATACACGATGATTACATTAGGATACTTTTACAAACAAATACGGTGCTGTTTCTGTACACACAGAGTGAATACTGGACGTCTGTTGGAAGGTTCTGCAAAGGAAATTGCAACATTTTACACTTTATGAGGTTGTAGGGTCAACAAAAGCTTCGTGAGTTTATTGTAATGTGTTTAAAGTCATGTACTCCACCCAGTATCAGCGTGTTCTCAGATAACGATAATCTGACTGCCAGAGTGACCTACATACAGCTCTGGGTGTAAAGTTACAGCCTGAACACGGGCAGTAACATGAGGAAATGTGTCGTTAATCAGGCCGTCTGTAAATATACAGCAGGGCAAAGAGATTAAAACAAATTATCAAAAATTCAAGTGTCTTGCTACACATTCTAACATGCACATTGATCAGTGGCATAACTATAGCCATAGCAGCCTAGACGGTTGCTTTGGGGTCTGGGGGGTGGAAGGGGGCCCCATTAAGGTAGTTGAAGCAAATTAAACAAACATAGAACACAGGAAGATAATACTTCTGCTTAATGCTGCAAGCACTATTTTGATTGCACCGCAACCGAACGCACTGCAGGCACAATGTGCCTTGCGATTCAGTGCGGCCTGATGGCGTGGCTACGGTGCCATTCACTTCAATGGCCCGCCGCGCTCCCTCCTGCCCGGCAGAAAACTGAGCCGGCCGCAATGCGAGGCAGTGCGTTCCGGCCAGAATCGGACCGGAACGCATTGAATATGGTGTGAGCGAGGCCTTAACACCTGTCCTGATGCATTTGATACATTGTTACATTCTTTTTAATGCATGAAAAAAACCCACACCATAACACGTATGGAAACGTGCAGATACATTTGTTTAATAAATGTTCACATAGGTGTGCATAGGAAACTTTTACAAGCAGTAGCAGGCTGTGTAACTTTTATAAAAGGTTGGTGGAACAGGGAGGCCAAATATACAAAGGAAACAAGTCTGAGCAAGCGGAAGAGTGTATAGCACATTGGGAGAAAGGATCTTGCTAGTCGGCCCCGCTGTCTGTTAAAATAACTGAACAATCTGATTAGATGCAGGTGTTCTATCAAAGTTTGTGACTGCATTAGAATGTGTGACCGGTGACGTGGTCACACATTCTAACCTAACCACGCCCACTTTTATGTGTCACTTCTATCCGACTCTGTGAGTGCGATCTCTCATTCCACAAAGTCGGATAGAAGTGACATTTCAGGATCGATCAGCTGTTCCAGGGCAGATCCGTTCTCCTGCACATACCATCTGCGATGCCGATCTGCCCTGGAACGGCTGATAAGTGTTGGAATTCTTCACCTTTTGCGGGTCACATATTTCACCATCGAAAAAGTGGGCGTGATTACGGTAAAATGTGTGACTACGTGTGTGACTACACATTCCAACCCAGACACAGTCTTTAATAGAACACAGGCATTGTTCAGGTATTTTGACAGCCAGTGGGGCCGACTAGCAAGATACTGAAGCTTGACCCAGCTGGAGATTCCTTCATCCACACAGTGTAGCGTAGATAGAGGAATCTGTTGCCCTTTTTCCATCTGACCATAGAAAATCTGCAGATAATCTATAGGTGTATGGCCAGCTTTAGATATGAGAACAACAAGGGACATTCCCTGTCAGAGCAGAGGGGGGAAGAGATGAGCGCAACCTAAAAGTAAAGGCAGACAAATATTCACTACCTTGCCAAGTTCCTTTAATAGGAGTGCAATGCTGAGTTTAAGAAGGTTTAAAAACGTGTTTTAGGTGGATTTAAAGAGACTCTGTCAGGTGCCCATTAAAGGCAAAATAACAGAGTCTCTCAAAAGGCCAACAATTTTTTCCGTTTTGGAGAAAATAAGGGTTAACAAAACCTTCCAGTTTATTTTTTGCTATCAGTGTCTTGTTGGTGACCTTTCTATTCACTTCCTGTCCTACATAGACAACAGGAAGTGAGAGGATATCTCTCTAAAGTGAGAGAAATGCCTCCCTAAGACAGTTGTTACAGGAATAGGCGAAACTTTGAATAAGTTACAGGAGCTTCCTGTAATAAAGACTGGTCACTGCTGCTCTCTGTCTTCGTGCAGGGTGACTGGTCTTCTCTCCGCCCCCTCCTGTAATAAAGACTCTGCCCCTCCTGTAGTTTTCAACAGGAAGCCTGCTGATCCCCTCACACAGTTCTGCTCTCTGCACAGTCTATATACCAGTGATGATGTCACTGCTACTCTTACAAGATAATAGCTGGGTTTACAAAGGCATTAGGTGCACAAAAAGTTGATTCATATCCTTTCATGCTATTGCAGAATATATTTAAATGAAAATCTTTCAACACTAAGATATCACTCACATTTTAAGAACTCTTCTCTTGTCGAGGGCTCCGGAGCCGATATCCTGTGACTGGCAGGGACAATAGCCGACACCACGTTCTTAATTAGTATCTCCTCTGAAAAGTATAAGGAAAATGAACAATGTGTTTTGCATCTCTTTTTTAGGACAGTATTAATATTATTGTTACTATGAACAAACATCAGTAGAATTCCAGGAAACACGTCCTGCCCCGTCCTCCCCAACTTTATCAATGTGCGCCAATGACTGATCTAGTGATATACGAGCTTTGTCATTGATCTCATCTCATAGAGTCTGACCTAGCCCCAGGTCCTCTCCTCATGGTCGCCGCAAAGTCGCGTTAAAGTCGAAATTGATCCTTGTTGCATGTGAAGTCAAATTGTGAACTTAGAGGTGGACAATCTTCAAGTCTGCGCCTTTAATTCGGAGCTGCGACTTCTTCAGTCACTTTGGCTTTGTCATACAAAGTGTCCCTTATCGGCATCTGAGGTCATTCAAAGTCTCACTTAAAGTGACACTAAACTTAGGAATTAAATCTTAATATTGTTCCCCATGGTCCCTGTGTGTGTTGTAAAGTAGTCACCTCTCTAAGCTCGCTCCCGGGATGGACTACAATCTCAATACAAATTAGTGAACAAAACATGAGATTGTAGTGGAGCGGTGACTACTCTACAACACACACAGGGACCATGGGGAACAAAAGTAGCCACCCTCCAGAAGGAAGGACAGTGTCAGCACCAATTCAGAGATGATTTGAGGATCTAAAGCCGAGTGATACACAAATAAGATACATTGTTGTTGATAGTTAAGGTATTTGAATGCATTTTTAAGATTTAACTCCTGAGTTTAGTGTCACTTTAAACACATTTAAATATTTCCTCACTTGAACAATCTGACCTTGCCAAGTATCACGTACTGAAAGGAGCTGATAAATATCCTGAATCACGATCTGATTGTACATACCGAGTGCTATTTTTGTGGGCTCAGATTGGTAATCTGCCCGTATTAAATCAATAATAACGCTCTGTTGTTTGTAAGCAAAGCTGGGCTTGTTCTGTAAGGTGCAGTCATTGCTGGAAGGAATTTACCATCAGGGTGGAGCTGAATTATGCACTTCAGAGCCCCACTAATGTATGCAATACACCCCTAACACCATCATCAATAATGACACAGTGTGCTATTAACCAGGGCAGATCACAGACCTTCCCTGTACAAAGTTATCCCCTTAAAGTGCATGTAAACCCTGTAATTGATCTTCTCTTATTAGTCTGTTAAATATACAATTGATAGTGTTTGGATAGGTCAGTCTGGACAAGAACATCCGGCGCAGTCTTCTTTGTGTGTCAAGGCAGACGTTGAAGATTTGTATTCATATTGCTTGACCTGTTCCAGAGTTCACTGCACCATGGTGATCGGATTATGGAAATTACAACAGGGCTTTGCCCCAGACCTTAACACTGCCCCTCACGTTCGTGCACCAAGAACTCTGTAAACTCTGCTTCCCATGCTATTTAGCTCCACCCTTTAGCGGTACGCATCACCCATTTTGTATGTGGCTGCTGTAAGGTATATAGAAAAAAAAAGAGCAAAAGGCCCTCCAGTGAACCCGTGAAGAGCACTGCATCTCTTACTTCCATCACACGTCCCAAAATTATAGGGGTTCAGTCATCATTTTAGTGTAGTGGGTGGAGCCATGCAATTCCTTTTTTCTCCTTGGACTGACTGTACATCCAAACCCGCTGCTCTCCACACAGACACAGCCTAATACTATAGGAGCAGGGGTAGCCAAACTCCGGCCCTCCAGCTGTGGTGACACTACAAATCCAATGGTGCATCTCTCTCCGGCAATCATGTCTGTGGCTGTGAGAATCTTGCAATGCCTCATGGGATTTGTAGTTCCACCACAGAGGGCCGGAGTTTGGCTACCCCTGCTATAGAGCCATATATACTATAGAGCCGTCTGGCATTGATTGTACCTACCTGGGTGGAGCGTGACTCTGCTGTATTGTGTGACAGCCAATAAGGGACTCTATGAATGTATGTACAGTACAGCAGCCAATCAAGCACTGGGGCTCTCTCAACCAGTGGTGCAAGCTGGGATAGGGTACATATAATGGAGGGAATTGCCATGTGCTCAGACTAGTTTGGGACCAGCCATGGATTGGCACAGGACTGGGTGCTGTCCAGCAGCCCCCGAGCTGGGCCTCAGGCCTGGGGGTGGGCAGGGGCTGGAGTGTTGGAAGAGTTTCCCTAGGCCTCAAGTATGGAGGAGGCCTGTGCTGTTGTCAGAGGAGGAGAACCAGGGAAGCTGATGGCTACTGGAGGTGCCTGAAACATAGTGGACCTCAGAAGCAAGGCTGGTGTCTCTCCTGCTGAGGATCTGTACTCATTCCCTGCTCATCGGTTACTCAAATTACTACTCGCTGTACCACAAGTGGATCTACACTGAGATGCTAAAGAGGTCTGGTGAGTCTGGAGTCTATGTCTGTTACACCCTGGATGTCTAGGACCCCTATACCCTTTCTCCCCAGTGTGAAGATGTTAATAAAAAGTATTCAGCATTGCATTACATTGCATTACAGCTTTGTGGGCACTAGAAGAGGGCTGTAAATGCTAATGGGGCAGCTGAAGACCAAATCCCCTAGACAGACTAGTGATGACCCGGGTTATTCCAGGGGCTCCTTCGTGGGTGAGCGTTACATTGTAAAGGGCTAAACATTGTCTACAGGCTCTACCCTTCAACTTCACTGCATGAGGGTTGTCCCCATGAGGCCTTGGGTCAATGGGCAGTGGATGCAGATGCAGTGGAGCCTGAGTAATTATAAGATATAGAAATCAGCCTGGCACAGGATGAACATGACTTACAAAAATAAAAATGAAAACGGTTTAATACAATGCCTTGAACACATGACCTGAGCTCACCACATTTTATCAGACTCTGTATTTGGTGTGACAAGAAAGGGCCAGAACCATATGGAATACACCTATGTCTAAACACGGGTGTACCAGCTCTACAAATTGAATGGCTCTCTGTGATTGACACACCTATATAAATACATATAATTGATGGTATGTGTATGGGCAGACTAACAACAAGCAGACTCACCTTCCTTTGCAAACTCTTGAAGCTTATCTGTGTAGGAGGTTAGCAGCTGCTGAATAAATTTTTCCGTTGACTCCGTCACCACCTTCTTGATTCCGGACAACTTGTCCTTAAGCCCAATATAAACACTGGGGATTGTGTCGTCACCCGTAGACTTCTTAAACTCGCAATACTCCTGTGGATGCAAAGGAATGGGCAGTTTTTAAAAAAGGGGTGTACTAACAAAGTGATGGGATATTGTGCGTGTAAAGACATTTTTTCGTTTTGAATAGAGTGGTGAGGAGAATACAGGGGAGATCTTCCAATGGGGACACTTGCTCTGGTGACAACTGTCTAAGACAGGATTTCCCTTACTTTAGAGAGATTTCTTCCCACTTGCTGTTGGGTCTCTAGGACAGGAAATGAGCAAAAAACAGCGAACCAAACCCGACAGCAGTTCTAACCATTCCCCAGCTTACCCGGAAACAAAAAAACAAATGGCCTTTAGATACACCTTAAAGATGATAAAAGACTGGTGACATAACTTCCTGTACTTTGCTTGACTGATGGATTTCTCGATTACGCCCCTCTGTTAAAACACCAAACACACAGACTGCGGACATGGATTTAAATGGCCACAGCAGCCCTTTTATTAATCAAACAAATGTTAACAGTAACCAAAGTAATAAACAAAGTCATATAAAAATAAATAATCTTAAGGACTGTTGGGGTCTTTCGGTGCCCAACAGCACAAATAAGGCCTCTCCTGAAAACTGCTACCATGTCCCCAGCCTCACCCCAACCAGCTCCAGGGCAGTTACTGCTCCCAAGTTCCAAGGGGGCCAGTCACCCGACAAATACTGTTACCAACAGGGAGAAGCGCCCATACCAGCTGATGGCCCCCCATTTGTGTATTTGACTCCGATTTTCAGACCCCCCAAAGACCCCCTAAACCGCCAAGCTGCAGTGACGTAAAAAAGGACATTGTAACAACCAGAAACCACAAAAATTAAGAGAGGGGGCGGGTTGGACAACCTTTTAAGAATGCCCATCAGCTCTTGCAGTTCCAACCCATGTAGCTCCTCCCGAACACCTGACCCCAACCTCCAATCAGGTAAGATCAGCTAATCCACATTTTATTTTAACCCCTTCTCCAGGGACTACTCCTCCCCCCAGTCATGCAGCCCCTCCGCTCATTCTCTCTCGGTCTGTCTTTATATCTGAATATAATTTTGATGTCTTGTACCTGTAGGAAACAGAACTCGCTCTTGTGTTTTGCAATGCCCTCGACCTTGGCTTTGGTCTTCTTCAGGTCATTGCACTTTTGCTCCATGTGGGTCTTGATCCCTACAGACTGGTTGATAGCTGCCTTTTCTCGCTGGTCCAAGAACTCCAGGACTTTGGAATGGGCTTTCTTCACTGCTTCCTGTAGTTCTTCAAACTGGAGATCAATAGACTTTCTGGCTTCAATTACAGAATTCTGAGGAGCACAAAACACACATTAAAAGAGTGCCAAAATTATACAAGTATGGACTGGAAATTACTCTAAGGTGTAATATACACAAGTATGTGGACACCGCTCCATATTATTGAGTTCAAGTGTTTCCAGTGAAGGGTACTGTTAATCCTTCAGCCTACAAAAACATTTTAGACACTTGTGCTTCCAACCTTGTGGTAACAGTCTGGAGAAGGTCCTCTTCTGTTCCAGCATGACTGCTCCCCTATGTACAAAGCCAGCTCCATAAAGACACGCTTTGACCGGTTTGATGTAGAGGAACTCAAGTGTCCTGCACAGATCTGTGACCTCAACCCTACTGAACACCTTTGGGATGAACTGGAATGCTGATGGAGAGTCAGGTCTTCTCTTCTATCATCAGCACCTGACCTCACAATGGGCACAAATTCCCACAGAAACCTTCCAAAATCTTGTGGAAACTCATCCCAGAAGAGTGAATGAGGTTATAGCTAGAATGGGGGAAATTCCATATTATTGGGCATGGTTTTGGAATGGGATGTCCAACAAGCTCATATAGGTGTGATGGTCAGGTGTTCACAGACTTTTGGCCATGTAGTGTACTAGACATGTGCGATTTGTTTCATTCCAAATCACAATTCGTACAAGTTTTCCGAAATTCGGACACATCTTAATTTCCGGATCCCAATGCTTCTGAATGTGACTGAATCTGAATTTCCATTTCCGAAATTTGGATCCCGTCCGAATTTTGTTTGGAAACTAAACTGAATCGGACATGTGATTTTTCTGGCCAATCAGATGTGTTTTTTGGTTTAATGCATCCTAATGGGTCTGAACACTAATTTTTGTTACGGCAACATGGCGGCCATATACAGTATATACCAGTGACGTGCGGTACCTCTTGCTCGGGGTGAGGCATTCCCCAGCCTCGTCCCCCGGCCGGATGAAGCCCCGCCCCCAAGCTAGTGTAAAGGAGGAAGGGAGGAGACAGGGAGGAGCCTCCCTGTCCCTCACTTGCTCCTCACCGCTGAGGCTCCGTGACAGGTTACATAGCGGGGAGGATTTCCTTGCTGTGTAACCTGTTAGATCCCGATCTGAATGGAGAACAAGCTGTCAGCTTCAGACATGAAGCTGACAGCTTTTTCCTCCATACTTCTAGGTGAGGTTGTGCCACACCTGCTTCCCCTGACCGCACGTCCCTGGTATATACATATAATACTAAAGCGGAGGCTTCGAGACCCAAATGGCATTCGGGATCCAAATTTCCGAACTGCTTTCGGGAGCTCCTGAATGCCATTCGGGTCTGGGAGCTTCAGCTTTAGTATTAATATCTGTATATGGTTTTCTGTGGTATTCACAACGAATATTTGTAAACTCATCCGAAAATAACGAAAAGTTGGATTTCGTCCGAATCCGGAACCCGAATCCCGAAATATCCGAACCGAAGTGAATTTTTCCACAACTTACATGTCTATAGTGTACCATAAGGCATTTTTTGTTTTTAGGTATCATTGGAGTTTACTATTTGAAAATCCCATTCACTTCTGCTGGTAGTTCTAAGAAGAATTTACCTGAGAGTCTAACTGAAGAGCAGAACATTGACTGGAGAAGGAGGAGCGGCTACAAACATTACACATTTCGGCTTACATGAAAGAGCAACTGAAACTCTCCACTATGCCTAGGTTCCACCCCTCTATTACATTATACTGATATCAGCGGGCAAGGAGCAGGGAAAACCCCATTATCCCACAGAACCTGAGCAGCTGTATTATTTTATGAGAAAGGCAGATCACACACGTGAGGAAAAATTAATATATATTTATACTTGTATCTGCTATTTACCGGTATGGAGGCACCAAAAGGGACACTTTAAACACAAAGAAGGGAATTGATCAAAACTGGAGCAGACAAAAACTGGAGCAGCTGTGAACAGCGACCAATCAGCTTCTCTCTTTCATTTTCAAAGCTTAACTGAACAAACTGAAGAGAAAAGCTGATTGGTTGCCATGCACAGCTGCTCCAGATTTTGTCTGCTCCAGTTTTGATAAATTCCCCCCAAAATGTTTTTGACCATTTTAGATACACAGACTGAAGAGCCTTCACCTTACCTGTATCGATGTGGTATTGGCCTCTAATTTGACAATGGCGTTCTCAGCCGACTTCAGCTTCCAGTCATATTGGGACACTATTTGCTGTACTTCAGCCTGGGGACATGAAAAAAAGAAAAGTTTAAGTTAGAACCGTGATTTTGCATTTTATTTCAGACCTGGACTTGAATCTGGCTGTAAGCTCCCTCCGGGCAACATCAGTCAGAAAAACCTGCAGACCACAAAAGTGTTATAATTCACCCAGATTATCATTAATCTCAGTTTTATCAAATCTGCAGAAGGCAGACTCAGCAGGGCTTTCACAGGGCTTACAAGGAAGACTGCTCTATGTAAAATGTTCTGTGCTGTGCAAGTTTATTCTGATGTTTCAGTGCGAGTAGGCGGGGGCAGCAGTCAGCTCAGAAAATGGCGGTACCCGGGAACGCACTCCTCAATGCTCTCCAGACTGAGGCTCAGGGTAAGTAGAAGATGGGTATTCGGGCAACTGGGGGGATTTAATGATTAGGATAGGTTCAGAACACCATGCCATGGGGAAGGAAAGGCAAAACAAAGGAAAGGCAAAACGAAAGGAAAGGAAAAAGAAAGGAAAGTAAAAAGAAAGGAAGGGAAAAAGAAAGTAAGGGAAAAAGAAAGGGAAATGAAAGAAAAGGGAAATGAAAGGAAAGGGAAATGAAAGGAAAGGGAAATGAAAGGAAAGGGAAATGAAAGGAAAGGGAAATGAAAGGAAAGGGAAATGAAAGGAAAGGGAAGGGGAAAGAAAAGAAAGTGAAAGAAAGGGAAGAGGGAAAAAAGGGAAGGGAAGGGTAAGGATAGGGAAGGGAAATGAAAGGAAAGACAAAAGAAAAAGGAAAGGGAAGGGAATTGAAAGGAAATGGAAAGAAAAGGGAAGGGAAAGGAAAGACCTGCAAATATAACATAACTGCTGCAGTCAAAAAATCAGGTCTCCTGCCCGTCCAGACAGGACTGAGCTGTGTGAATCTCAGGACTGGAAGGACAGAAATAGAAATCTTTTTGGAAGGTAAAATAGCTCCCATACATGGGTTTCATCAGGTTTAAGGGTCAGGTGTAGCAGCTTTGTGCACACACATACATGACAATATTCAGTACTCGAGGTGACCAATCTGATTGCTACAGGTTTCTACAAAACAAGTCAGCTGACACGTCGAAGGTTATTTAGGGCAAGCATATTCCCACCCATTGGCTCTGGACAATGTGACACAAACTGCAGGAAATGTTTTCCAGAGCAGGACACGGCACTCCCATATCCCAGTACAAGTCCAGCTTACAATGTGTTTGGGAACGGAGCCGTTACATTTGTTATGCGTGGCACTAAAATGAGGTTGGTCAACATCTGAACACAATGACCGGGAACATTGCTTGCTGGGTCACTCTGTACTCAACCTGCCCTGTACAGTGTGCAACATGCTGATAAGGACTCTGCAGATCCAGAGGAACTACAAGTTCCAGAATGTACAGCCCAAACAGCACAAATAATATTTATACTGTATATAGTTATTATTATGAACTTTCTGAACAAGAACACTTGTAATCCTTCTTCACGTGTAATCCTTCGCATCTCCTATACAACATGTGACATTTAAATTGGGGCTGACAAACATGAGTGCCCACCCAGGCTGCTAAAATATGACAGGGGGGAGAGAGATTTTAGGAGTCACGTGGTCCGGTAAGGTGCTTAGCAGGGGCGAGCAAAATCAATTTTTATTTGGCAACGTTTTTTGGCAAAAATTAGGACATTTTACCCAAATGTCATCTGAATGCATTGTAGTAAATGGTAAAGGCGAAGTCAAGGTGGTTTTTAAAAGGAGAACTATGGGGTCAGTGTTTTTCCCCATAGTTCTCCTTAGGGTAACGGGAGGACACAAACTAGCGTCCTTCCGTTACCCTAAGCTCAGTATACCGCGAGCTACAGCTCGCGGTATAATATTTCCGAGAAGGCGATGTCACTGTTTTTGTAGCTAAATCAAATTCTCCATAATTGCCTGTTCACCTGTACTGCTTAGGTAAGTTGCAGATTCTGGTGGTTCAGAAGATGGGTTTGTTACATGTAGAGGAATAACTGCAAGCTCAGAAAAAGGAGCATAAAACAGCCTTATGGCACTTTCAAAATGAAGGACTGGGCAAGAAAATGACAGACTTTGTAAATGGCCTAAAAAAGAACATGTTGGGGAGGCTGTTCCCCTGGCACGGCCAAGGTTCATATTCAGTGCTAGAGGCTGCCACTGCCCAGTTGGTGTCAGTCCCAGGGTCTGCAAACCACTGCGTGTGATGTTCCAAAGGTGTGCTCAGCCCGGGGACTGGTGTCACTTCCAAGTGACAGGCAATGACAGCCTCCATTGCTAGATGGGAACCTCAACTGGGACAGAAGACAGTAGAGTTGTCATGACAGGTGACAGGGTCTCCTGATAGCTCCCCCCTACCTCCAACACCCCCCCACCTTTTCCCAACAATGAATGCTTGCTTACCTATCCACATTCCCTTGCAACCTTCCCACTGCAGGAGTCCACCATGAGTGAGCTCCATTGTAGGATGTTTTGGAGCTTACTTGGGTCTTTGACATCATGGCCCCTCATGTCCAAGCCTGGAAGATGGCCACGCAGGCCTGAGCACTGTAATATGGGGAGCGTGTCCTCTGCATGCTTTCTATGTTATCTCAATGAGCTCTTTTATTGCTTATCTTGGACTACAAAATGATCAGCCTGTATTCTGTAGATATGCGAGTAGAAGTGGTTGAATAATTTAGCAAAAGACAACTGGGCAGGGCTGACACCACTAAGTCCACAGAAAAAAAACAAAACATTGTGTTCTGTCAGCACACAACAGGACATAGGAGCCGAGTGTATTTCTGGAATATGAACAGTTACTTATCTGTGCTTTCATGGTTTTTAAAAAGGATTTAACAGGGTAATGTGCATGTATTGCAGAGATGTACTTTATATGTTTCTTTTTGTTTTCCCTTGACATAAGATTTAACAAAAGTAACAATGTAGCTACATACAGTCAGTGTGAGGTGTCTTCATTGTTTATAAATGCAAAATCCACATTGGGAAAAGTGTATGCACTCCAAACATGTTATTATCAGAGGGAAGATCTGCAGGGACAGTACACAGAACAGGTACAGCTAGTTTTATAAGCCAATAAGAATGAGGAATTACGATGACTGATTAGCAAACCTAATTTATATAAACAGGAGGATGTGTATCCTCATTCCACATATGACACTGTGTGTATGTATGTGGGGGGTTCCTCAGCCAATCGAATGTCTCCACTAAAGAGCAATGTGGGAAGTGCATCAGCTAATAGGAACAAGCTGACCATTGTCCTTCAATGACTGATTGCAAGTAACCCAAGAACAGCTTAATCTGATTGGCTACAATGGGTTTCTGCCATTGGTGCATCGTCATTGCTCTCTGGGCTGCTTTATAACGTCCTAAAAAAAAATATATATATATATATATATATATATTTTTAAGGATTATATTATTTATAGATTTTCAAAATAAAAAAGGAAACAAAACACCAATAATAACAAAAAAAAAAAACATTCCTATTATGCCGAGGATCTTACAACCAGCTATACTTTTGAACTTTACATACACTATATTGCCAAAAGTATTGGGACGCATTTACACGCACATGAACTTTAATGGCATCCCAGTCTTAGTCCGTAGGGTTCAGTATTGGGTTGGCTCCGCCCTTTGCCACTATAACAGCTTGAACTCTTCTCGGAAGGCGTCCACAAGGTTTAGGAGTGTGCCTATGGGAATGTTGGACCATTTGTGAGGTCAGGTACTGATGTTGGACGAGAAGGCCGGGCTCGCAGTCTCCGCTCTAATTCATCCCAAAGGTGTTCTATGGGGTTGAGGTCAGGACTCTGTGCGGCCAGTCACGTTCCTCCACCCCAAACTCCCCCATCCATGTCTTTATGGACCTTGCTTGGTGCACAGTCATGTTGGAACAGGAAGGGGCCATCCCCAAACTGTTCCCACGAAGTTGGGAACATGAAATTGTCCAAAATGTCTTGGTGTGCTTTAAGAGTTCCCTTTACTGGAACTAAGGGGCCAAGCCCAACCCCTGAAAAACAACCCCACACCATAATCCCCCCTCCATGAAACTTTACACTTGGCACAATGCAGTCAGGCAAGTACTGTTCCCCCGGCAACCGCCAAACCCAGACACGCCCATCGGATTGCCAGACAGAGAAGCATGATTGGTCACTACAGAGAACACGTCTCCACTTCTCTAGAGTCCAGTGGCGGCGTGCTTTACACCACGGCATCCCACGCTTGGCATTGCACTTGGTGATGTAAGGCTTGGATGCAGCTGCTCGGCCATGGAAACCCATTCCATGAAGCTCTCTGCGCACTGTTGTTGTGCCAATCTGAAGGCCACACCAAGTTTGGAGGTCTGTAGCTATTGGCTCTGCAGACAGTTGGCGACTTCTGCGCACTGTGCGCTTCAGCATGCGCTGACCCCGCTCTGTCATGTGACGTGGCCTACCACTTCCTGGCTGAGTTGCTGTTGTTCCCAGTTGCTTCCACTTTGTTATAATCCCAGTAACAGGTGACCGCGGAATATTTAGTAGCAAGGAAATGTCACGGATGGACTTATGTGCAACATATCACGGCACCACGCTTGTAGTCACTGAGCTCCTGAGAGCGACCCATTCTCTCACAAATGTTTGTAGAAGCGTCTGCATGCCGAAGTGCCTCATCCTATACACCTGTGTCCATGGAGGGGATTGGAACACCTGAATCCAATGGAGTGGTGTCCCAATACTTTTGGCAATTTAGTGTATATGATTTCATCACCTCTTTATAGGATACCTCACCTCTTCTTTCTTTTAAAACCACATTATTCTAGAGTAAGAGATGCCATCAAGCTAGAGGGGACATAATCCCAAATGAACAAACTAATACAACAAACAAAACAAATTCTTAAAATATTTTTTGTGTGTGTTTTAGCTATACATGCAGTATTTAAGAATTTGCAATAATATTATCATATTATTTCAGTGTTGTTGCTATCACGCATTTGGCGCGGGGTCTATTTATATTTGATACATGCAGTTATGTTCTGCTAAATAGTTAAAAACAAAATTGTAATTGCTCCCATGTAGAGTTTGTTGATATACATTGGAGCAGCTACATTTGCTCACCATGCAGTTTCTGCTGACGGCTTAGTAGCGCTGCACAATGATTGTGCTTTAGTCCCCATTCACTCCTGAGCGTTTTGCGCAAGTGTGTAAAACGGGCAAAAGTATGCGCACACTGACGCACGCTTGTGAAACGCATAAAAACACGCGAAACACCCTGTGCCATTACCAGTTAATGGCACCACAAACGCGGCTGGGCAAATGCATGTTTCATGCACATTTTTAAAAAAGACGCAGAACGCATGTAGCAGATTTTGCTACATACACTACTTTTCCACATTGGTCGCGCGTTCAGGACCCCATTGAAATCAATTGGAATGCGAGGCAAACGCGCAAAACAAATGTGCGAACACGCATGAGCACAACGCATTCCCACTATGCTCAGTTCTCACCTACTTCAGGCCTCAGTGACTTGAACTTGCTTAGACTGACTAAAAACAACGGACAACTGTGACTGGATGATAAAAGTGTTTAAAGTGGACCTGTCATCAGATAGATTTTTCATGTTAGGTGTAGCATGCCGAGTAATGAGTCATTGCAACACCTACGGGTATTTATTACCTCTCATAGAGATCACATGACTCCCCTGACAATTATTATTATTATACAGAATTTATATAGGGCCTACAGTTGACGCAGTGCTCTACAATGCCTTCATCTGCTTTTTCCTCTGAAAGGATGGTGCCATCTCTGTTCAGGCATCATCCAGGGACACCAGCTACTATATGAACATGTAAATCCTGGTGCCTGTGCAGTTCTGACACAGATCAGCCCCTGCTACAGCCTCACACCTTGTGACTTGATATAAAGTTACAATGTTGCAGGCTGATCACTGGGGGAGGTGAGACTGAAGAAATTCTTCCTCCTGCCTGCAGCAGACTGACCACTGGGGGAGGGGAGAACGAGGAAATTCTTCCTCCTGCCTGCAGCAGACTGACCACTGGGGGAGGGGAGAACGAGGAAATTCTTCCTCCTGCCTGCAGCAGACTGATGACATCATCTCAGTCTAGGCAATGTCACTGGACTGGAGCCCAAGGACAGCATAATATGTGTAAAATAAATGGTCTGTAATATGTATAATACGTATGGCCAAAGGGGTTGTCACCTTTTCTTCAAGCAAAACCAGAACACTCTGGAGACACACAGACATTTTTTTGTGGAGAATGAGTCGTGGCTTATTCATATGTAAATATCACAGTCGAGACTATTTTCATTGGGGGGCCAGTAGCCCCTATCTTAATTTTGGTTGCCTCTGTCTGCCTGACATCTTGTGTCCGGGTTTCTGCTGCCATGAAACCCGGACACGGCATTCAAAACCCGGACTGTCCGGGTGAATTCTGGACAGGTGGCAACCCTAATAGCCAATATAATGTATAATATGTATGGTCAATAATATGCGGTGCAACTACAGCTCCCACCTCCCACCATGCCTCTGCAAGCCATGTCTGTGGCTAGCGGAGTCTTGCAACGCCTGATGGGACGTCCACAACAGCTGTAGGGCCGATGTTTGGCGTAGAGGTACCTGAACCAAAAAATAGTAATTTCCTTTCACATAATTGGATGTATGACCTCTACACGGCTTTACAGCGTTAGGTGGACATTCTACTGTATTGGGACATCAGCCCAGATGAGCATTTACAGTCCTCATCTGAAAACAATGAGATGATACATTTAAGATCCTTCAAAGACTTCACAGCGTGTGAGGGCGTCCTATGTCTGGAATCGTTGTTCGGGCTTGTCCAGCGAGTCTTAAAACATCAGCAGGAAATCACCGGGGAATGTTTTTATCGTCTAGAGTGCTTGAATTTTTGTTAAACAATCGCTACAAATGTTTCAGAATGAACATTTTCACGTCTGTACTGAACTGTGTGTGTGATGGAAGAAAAAATGAACTTTCCCTGCCAGTGTTCCACAACCTGGGTTGGGCATTTTTGGCTTTTGTTATATAACCATTGTTACTTGGTATTTATGTATCAGACATATGACTCCGCACAATGAGAGCTACCCTGTGATAAAGAAAAAGCCTTTCCTCTTTAGGCACAGTGTATTTCCTTTATGTGCTAGATCCCCCATTCACTTCAAACTCACAGCTAAAACTTTTGCTTGTTTTTCAATTGTTATAAAAAGTGTTAGAACCTCTGACAGTCTTTAATGGCTGTGTCACTGTTGAGGAGATTATCATTGGCATCCACGGCAAGTGAAATATGTCCACGGCAAGTGAAATATGTCCAATGTAGACAGCAATAGAAACTGGCAAAAGTCCCCCCCTACCCTATTCCCCTCTATCATTAGAGTTCTCATTTATCCGTGACCGAGTGCCCGACTATTCAAAGGGAGTGACACCAAAATGACTGTCAGTCATTTTGGTGTCAGCCCTCCAATGGTGGCACCCGGGTGCGGGCCGCAACCCCCCCTTGTCCCCCCCCTTGTGACGCCACTGGTAGTTGGTTACATTCAACTGGAATTGTTCTGCAATGTTGAAGATGTTTCATTGCTCAAACTCATTTCTAAAGGAGTGTCAGAAACATACCACAGCATTAGTTACAGTATATGGCCAAACGTTTGTGTACATGTGACAATCTTACCTACCTATGTGGCCGCGAATATGTGGACACCACCCCAGATGAATGAGTATGGGTGTTCCAACTCTATATTAATGACCATGGTTTTGGAATGGGATGTTCAACAAACTCATATAGGTGTGATGGTTAGAGGTCACAAAACTTTTGGTCCTGTAGTATATTATTATTTTGTCAATATTAAAATACTGGGGTATCTATCCAACACTCATGTGAACTGAGGAAACCCTCAACACTTCTGAATAAGTTCAATTGAATGTGACTAACTACTACTAGCTTTGGGACTGTAAGCCCGTTTGGGCAGGGTCCTCCTCACCCACTGATTCTGTATATCAATGATGCTTGTCAGTGTTTCTCACTTGTCTAAACGATTGAACAGCTCTGCGGAATATGTTGGCGCTATATAAATCATTGTAATTGTAACGTTCTGTATCATATCTATACATTCATACATTGTGAACTTTGATGATAGAATATTGTATATGAAGTTTTAACATACCTCCACTTGCTTCCTTGCCTCAGCACAGGGTATTGGTTGGTGGTCTTTATGCTCCCCCTCTGCACATTCCTGGCAAATACAAATCAGGTCCGACTTGCAGAACATCTCCAGTGGTCTATTGTGCACAGCGCAAGTCCGAAATTCGGTATCATTCATAGGGGGCACCAGCTGGTGGGAATGCAGCTTGGGGTTATCTAAGTGGGGTCTGAGGTGGGTGGTGCAGTAATTCACCATGCAGGTAAGGCATGTCTTCACCGCTCTGACCTTTCCCTCTAAGCAATAGTCACACAAGACTGCATCTCCCTCAAGCTCCTCCGTGGATATCTTGTCTACTGGAGGATGCACATTACCTATGGTGGCCGTTGTGGAGCCTTTGGACGTAACCTTCAACGATCCCAGCTCCGTCACAGAGTGGCTTTTACAATACTTGATCACCTTGGGGTGCTCTGCAGGTGCAATGGTTGAAATTTCTCCACAGCTCTGGCATTTGGAGACTGGCTTGCTAGAGATGTCAGGGTCGGCCATTGTTCTCAGAGCTCTCTAACTTTCTCTGCAGTTTCCTAACTCTACAGCAGGACGTCAGAAGGCTGTGAGAAAGCCACACCTGAATGAGCAACTCAGCCAGGAGCAATTAACCAACTGCGTGCCAGAAGAAGGAAAAAGCAGGAAGATAATGAGAGTGAGCTAGGCCTCTTCCTCATATTGGCTTAACTCCATGCAAACAGACTCTACAGGTTCTATCTCCAGCCATGAACAAACAGAGCCAGAACGCAGCCAGGAATGTCAGCTGAATGCCAGGCATGCAAGGACAATGTCAACTATGTACAGGATTCCTATTGAATCCAAGACTATAGAATGATGTTACTTTTCTAAGCTTTGTAAAAGCTAAATCGTTTTAATATAAAAAATAAATACATGCATGCAAAAAATGATACATATTTGAAACTGATGTGTCATTTTTATATGTAACATTTTAATATGTTTTGTTTTTTTTGCTTCATCAAAGCTGAACTCGGGGATAAGCAACTATTGTCTAAATACTAATGGTCATGTGTGTTCTTCCTTGAAACTTGGTGAGTTTTGTGTATTTCTTCCAGATGTGTGCAGTAGTCCCGTGTGAGACCTGGAGCTTCCTGTAATAAAGACCGGTCACTGCTGATCTCTCTCATTGTGCAGGGTGACTGGTCTTGTCTCCACCCCCTCCTGTAATGAAAAAGAACGGTCACTGCTGCTCTGTCTCCTTCTGTAGTGTGACTGGTCTCGTCTCCGCCTTCTAATGTAATAAAGACCAGTAACTTCTGCTCTCTCTCTCTCCTTGTACTGGGTGACTGGTCTTGTCTCCACACCCTCCTGTAATAAAGACCAGTAACTTCTGCTCTCTCTCCTTGTACAGGGTGACTGGTCTTGCCTCTGCCCACTCCTGTAATAAAGACCGCTCCCTGCTGCTCTCTCTCCTTGTGCAGGGTGACTGGTCTTGTATCCGCCCCTTCTGTAATAAAGAACGGTTACTGCTGCTCTTTCTCATTGTGCAGGGTGACTGGTCATGTCTCTGCCCCCTCCTGTAGTGGGTGGAGCCTGCTAGGTCCATCCTACAGCTCTACTCTCTACACAAGGTTATGTACAGCACAATGATGATGTCTTTATGACTTTTACAAGGTGATGACTGCAAAGGCATTCAGTGCACACAAGAGGATTTATATTTGTGGGGGTATTGAGGAATATATTTTATTGAAAGTTTTTGTGCCCGGAATGTATTCATGTAGACATGGAAAATTGTAAAATTGATGCACGGCTTTAAGGCCTCATCCACTCGCCAAAAAGGCAGGCGCGTACACCTCCGCGCTGCGTGCACGGCCGTACACTGCCCGCACCCACGTCCATGCGGGTGCGGATGAGTGTACCTGTACGCTGACAGGATGGATCCTGTCTGCGACCGAGCCAGGACACCCGCACCTGTACGGACCTGCACTTGGGGTGAGCCTAGGGCGGCGTATGGCCGCGTACTCCCATAGAGAAGGACAGGGGCTGCGTACTAATCACACGCAGCACCTGTCCTTCCCTGGAGCTGCCCGATATGGCCGTGCGCGTAGCACAGAGCTGTACGTGCCGGCCGTTTCCCGTGTGAATGAGGCCTTAAAGCCGACCGTGTATCAATTTTACAATTTTCCAAGTCTACATGAATACATTCTTGACAAGTCACACTATACAGCAACAGTATCATTTTACAAAAAAGTTCCACCTTAATCATTCAAAAAAAGCCATCCTTGTGCACCAGTTGAGTGACATTGCCTAGGCTGAGATGATGTCATCAGTCCGCTTCAAACAGGAGGAAGCATTACCTCATTCTTCCCTCCCTAAGTGATCAGTCTGCAACTATAACTTTGCAGCAAATCATAAGGTGATAGGCTGCAGCAGCGGCTGGTCTATGTCAGAATTTCCCCAGCACACCACTGGATAGTGCTCAAAAATAAAGCGTCTTTTATTCACGCACATTCGTCACTTTAACAATCGCTATTTATAAATGACAAATATGCGTGAATAAAAGATGTTTTATTTTTGAGCACCATCCACATTTCTGATATACATGGGGCCTTGACAGTGACATGTGCCCTACTAATTCATGTAGTGTCACTTTTTATGGTGTGGATCAAGAAACCAGTCACTCCAGGGTTAATTTTAATGTGCATTTTTCCTATTAATATTCACAAAATTTCCAAAATGATTTACCGCACCCTATTTTGTACTGTTTGGCGCAATAAACAAAAAGGATACACATGTTTTCCGTAATACGTCACACCACTAGTAATCACTATGGGGGTTATTCACTAAAGAGCCCGAAGGATCCAGCCGGAGCTTCGGCTGATCCTTAGGCTGCCTTCAGCCAAAGGGCTGCTGTACGGGCTATTCACAATAGCCCGTACAGCAGCCGATTTACGACTTTACGATTTTAGCTGATATAAAACAGCGTTCGGCTCACTTCACTTCGGCTGGGTTAGGGTACGTTCACATCAGATGCAGTGTTTTCCAGTCCTATTCTGGCCGGAACGCACTGCATCGCATTGCGACCAGCTCACTTTTTTGGGGGGCGTGGCGGGCCATTGAAGTGAATGGCATCGTAGCCACGCCCTCCGGCCGCAATGTGATTACCTGCACGGGATTGCAAGGCACATTGTGCAGGCGGTCTGGTCCGGTGCAATCAAAATGCTGCAAGCACTATTTTCATCGCACCGGACCGGACTGCCGGCAGAATGTGCATTGCGACCCCGTGCGGGCGATCGCATTGCGGCCGGAGGGCGTGGCTACGGTGCCATTCACTTCAATGGCCCGCCACGCCCCCTCCTGCCCCACAAAAAAGTGAGCCAGCCGCAATGCGATGCAGTGCATTTTGGCCAGAATTGGACCGGAACCCACTGCATCTGGTGTGAACGTACCCTTATTCACTCGGCTGCCTTCGGCAGCTTTGTGAATAACCCCCTATATCTTTTTTTTTCTTCTCTGATTTCTAGGTTGAACTCGATGGACTTTTTTCAACCTGACTATGCAACTATGTATGTCAAGAGGAGGATATTTAACAGAGGGGAATTTCCAGCAGGAGATCTTAAAAAACATTATAGTTACAATTATTATACATAATATCTTCCGTATATATTCCGTCTGTGTTTATGATAAAGGACGATGTTAACCTTTTAGGTCACACCCATGTCTCCGTGACCTCTTTTCCTTTAAAGGCCCACTCATAGAATAAAAAAACTTAGTGTATGTGTTACAATGTAACACTTAAGCCCTTTGTTTGTACATTTTATCTGGCTGGGCTATCTCTTCACCTTTTTGTAAGAAACCTGTTATATGTGTCTTATTTTTACGTAGCTACAAAAGAAAAAGTGCAGTTGAGATGGTGAAGGGTTAATTATGAGCAAAACGCCACACTTCCTGATAAAGCCAGTAGCAGCTTTTACTTTCAGTTTAACCTCCGCTATGGCGTCTGCAGCCGTTACAGAGGAGCTGAATTGTACTATCTGCCTGGAAATTTTTACAGATCCCGTGACATTGAGATGCGGACACAACTTCTGCCGGGTTTGTATTAATAAATCACTGGACACCCAGAGGGCATCTGGAGTGTATTCCTGCCCAGAATGCAGAATGGAGTTTACGAAGCGGCCTGCCCTGCAAAGGAACAGGACTCTCCGTAACATTGCAGAGCATTTTTCAAGCAAGCCGCAGAAGGAAGATGTTAACTGCATGTATTGTATTGAACTTTCTGTGCCCGCCGTTAAATCGTGTCTGATGTGCGAAGCTTCTCTGTGTATAAAACACCTTGAAGTCCACAGCAAGTCACCCGAGCACGTCCTGTGTGAGCCCATCTCCTCCTTTAAAAAACTAAGGTGCCCCATTCACAATCAAGTTTTCATGTATTACTGCACCGAAGACGCTAAATACTTGTGCGTTTCATGTACATTGTCAGGACAGCACATGGGACACCAGATGGAGCTACTAAATGACTTCTGCACAAAGAAGAAGGAAAAGTTAATGAATGTCCACAAAGAACTCAGCGTCAAGAAAACTGACCTTCAGAAGAACATTCGAGATTTGGAGCTGCCCAAGGAAAGACTTGAGAGTAAGTTTATCGCAATCGAAAACAAAGTGACTTCCATTTTTAAGGATATCCTAGAACAGCTTGAGATGCTCAAGACAAAAACTCTGCAAGAGATCAAAGCTCGGAGGAAAAAAATGATGAATGATTTCATGGAGCAAATCTCCGAGCTAGACAGGAAGAAGCAAGAGCTCTGCAGGAAGATGGATCACATCGAGGAGCTGTGCAGCATGACCGACCCTATCGCCATCTTGCAAGAACTAAATCTGGGCAGCAACCAAGCTTTAAAAATAGAAAGTATGGATAAAGACAATTTACAGGAGCCAAGCGAGCCAATGGAAGAAGACATGGACGAGTCTGGTATTTTAATGACAATACATAAAGATCTATCTGACATTTTCAGCAGCTTTAAACAAAACTTGTTCCCGGAGAAAGAGGCAAAAATAACCCTCGATATCACAACGGCGGCTAACAATGTTTTCATTTCTGATGACCGCAAAACTGCCTCGTGGCTAGTGAACCAAGGTCGCCCGATGACGTCTGAAAGATTTCAGTATCATCAGGTGTTAAGCGTTGAGACTTTTTCGAGTGATAGTCATTATTGGGAGGTAGAAACTAGCGAAACGGGCAACTGGATGGTGGGGGTAGCCTATCCCAGCATTGAGAGGGAAGGGAATCAGGCCATTATTGGGAAAAACAATAAGTCCTGGAGCCTTTGCAAGTGGAATAATCAATATTTTACTTTGCACGACAAGAAACAGAACCATCTTAACGTTAAGTTTGGCTGTCGGAAATTCAGAATGAGTCTGGAATATAATAATGGGCGCCTGACCTTTTATGAGTTGAACAACTTGACCAAACCAGCATACACTTTCTTCATTAAGTTTACCGAGCCCCTCCATGCTGCCATAAGTGTCTGGGATAGCGCATGGGTGACAGTTCTGAGTCAGGAATAGTTTAATGACCGATCACTGGGGATGTTTTAAAAAAAAATTGCTAACAAATTAATGTTTGCAGCACACACATGCCTTTTGGTTTGGAGTGATTGAAAGTCAGATGAACACCACCTATAGGGGTGAAACAGTGGTGTAGAAGAAGGTGGATGTAGCGTGTACAGAGCTTTAATATTTGTGTAAGGGGGTTTTCATAATGATTGTTAGAAGAGGGTAAGAGGAGATTAGTTTATGTATTAGGTAAGGCTTACAGATAAAAGAGAATACGAAAAAAGTGAACAGGAGAAAGAAAAAGGGTTTGGAAGGTTTGGTGTAGGGAAGCCATGAAGACGCTCTTCCCTTGCTGCCTCCCATCTGGCGCCTTGACCTTGATGCTCAAATACAGGTAAAGAATGGAGGGGTGGGGAATTAAGATATGGGTCTGAATGTGTTTCAAGACCCATCCAGTGGAGAACTGGAATAGAGGTCTCAAAATAAAAATGGGAATGAGTGGGTTAGTGCCTTTTAGGAGTCTGGCATCTCGGTAGAGGGAGGAACGATTCCATGGCTCTAGTATGTCAGAGCAGAGGGAGGAACAATTCCATGAGCCAAGGTGCTCAGAGTGAAGAAAGGAGCAATTTCATGGGCTCAGGAGCTCAGAGTAAAGTGATGAGTAATTCCATAGGCCTAAGTGTTCAGAACGAAGGGAGGAGCAATTTGTTGGGCCCATGGGCTCAGAGCAAATAGGGGGTATTTCCATCATTTGGCTTCCATATCCTAATGGAATTCCGGATACAAATTTCCGAACTGCATTTTAGGAGCTTACCGAACGCCATTCGGGTCTGGGAGCGATATACACATATTACTAAAGCTGAGGCTCCCAGACCCAAATGGCATTCGGGAGCTACCGAATGCAATTCGGAAATTCTGATCCCGAATGGCATTCGGGTCTGGGAGATTCAGCTGTAGTATTAATATCTGTATTTGGTTTTCTGTGGTATTACTAATATTCGTAAACTCATCCAAAACTAACGAAAATTCCGATTTTGTCCGAATCCGAAACCCGAACCGAATTGAATTTCGCATCCGAATACCGAAATAACGAAATATCCGAACCAAATTTTTCCGCAGCTTACATGTCTAACAAAAAGAGTTAGTTGTGGCTAATATACCAATTTTATGTAAAGCGATGAATATCAGAGGCTCTGTGGGGAAGACAGAGCTATATATATGAACAAGGTTTGATTGCATAGCTAGTGCTTTGCATGAAGAATATTATACATATACAATACCATATTATGTAATCTAAAAACTAATGTAATGTAATCTAAAAAATGTAAAACAAAATGTGTAAAATGAAAGATTTATTTTAAATCTCCTTTGTCTATGTAATGGGGATCAATCTGTATATCATGCTTGCATCTGTATATACAATGTGGGAACGTTGGAGACATTTTTCTACATAACGATTGTGTTAGATTGCATATATGGAGATTTACGGGTGATCTGATGTCTTGACAAGTGTTTTTTTTTTGTGCTGTATTTGGTCTCCATTGGGGATTCTGTGATAATATTCATCTCCTGATAAAGGCGTGTATATAACTGCTATTCATCTGAAAAGTTAGGATCAAATAATTATTGGATGAATTGTGATCTTTGAAGAATGAGCAGTTAAAGGAGAACTATGGGGTTAAGGCTTTTCCCCATAGTTCTCCTTAGGGTAACGGGAGGACACAAACTAGCGTCCTCCCGTCACCCTAGACTCAGTATACTACGAGCTGTAGCTCACGGTATACTGAGACGCCGCAGCTGAAGCGGATCCCGACAATTATGTCTGGATCCGCCCAGCTACGTGACTGACAGCTGGCTTTGCCTATCTAGAGGCAGAGCCAGCTGTACCCGCCCCCTCCCCGTCTGTTCCGCCAGTCAGCACTGGCAGATCAGAGCGGGGAGGGGGGAATCCAGCCCCTCCCCTGTCACGGCAGAGAGCTGTGACAGGATCGAGAGGTGAGCGAACGCCGGTATGTGTTCGCTCACCTCCCGATCTACTGAGCCGACCTGTGACAGTCGCATTGTCACAGGTCGGCTAGAACTATGAGGTGAGTGGAAATCACTCATCTCATAGTTCTCCTTTAAGGGTGGTATGGGCTTTAAATTACTAACCTTAGCACAAACCCTGAAAATAACCCTAAACCTGTCATGTGGTCACAGGTCGGCTAGAACTATGAGGTGAGTAAAAAGCACTCACCTCATAGTTCTCCTTTAAAGAGACCCTGATGCATTCCAAATTACTTTTGACTTGTAAAGAAAATCTACTAAGATTTGTTGGGCCAATGGCTTTGTAAATTTTTAATAAACAGACCACTTGGAGTTTATTATAGAACATTGTTATCGATATATCTTTGTTTTTGAATAAGTCTGAATACACTGCAGATGAAAATTACATTATATGTATTTAAAGCATTTATAAGAAATAAAGACGCAAAGAACATATTGAATGTGACAACAATACTTTGTATCTTATTTATCTTAGTATTGTTTAGTGAAATATATACAGTATGTGTGTGTGTGCAGGGCCAGATTTCCCACAGGGCCAACCAACGCCCGGCATTGGGGCAGCAGGGAGTAGAGGGGCAGCAGGGGTGTGGAATTCCTATCTTCCGTTGCCTGGGACATGCAGTTCCGGGCATCAGGCAGGTAGTTGTTTTCTACATTTAGTCCTGCTTTGGGCAAGCAGAGTTAAATGTACAGCTGGGAAGCCAATGCTTGTTTTGTACAAGTGATCCCGGCGATTGCATTGAGGAACCTGGCCTTGGGGCAGCAGAGAGAGTAAATCCGGCCCTGTGTGTGTGTGTGCATGCGTACATGCATGCGTGTGCACCTGAGGCTGCTGCTAATTGGACTGCACATTATTGGCAGGTACAATCAGTGTCAGCAACCATTCTGTTTTGTACACATACTAATGAAATAGTAATTTAAAAAAATATCAAATCAACCTCAGTGGATTGCATACTGCATTATGGCCACTAGATGGAGCTGAGAATCATAGACAATAAACATTTACCGTATTTTTCCGTCTATAAGACACCCCCATGTATAGGACGCCCCCCACTTTTCTTACCCAACATTCAGAAATCAATATTTTCCATGCTCTTTTGCATAACTGATTATATCCAGTTTAAATTCTGCAGATTAAGACAGCTGCTTACTGGTACCGGTATTTTTTTTGTTTTCTGACATTTTTATGGGCTCCCTGTTGCATCTGGAGCACTGGCTACACGCTCTCTGCAGCATCAGCTGACGTCGGGTACATAAGGCTCATGATTGGAGGAAACCTGTTAGCTTGTCTCTGCAATCGGAAGTTTCACTTGTGAGGCTAGTTTGCAGAGGTATCGGCAGTTTCGCAACCGCGGTTCTCCTCTCGGCCCCCCGTGTATAAGACGCCCCTCCATTTTTAGGTAAATATTTGTAAGAAAAAGTATAGTCTTAAGGTGCCCATACACTGCTCGATTCTCGTACGAGAATCGCGGGAAATACCGCGATCGTATGAGAATCGAGCAGTGTGAACGAAGACGTGCAACCATTTCTACTGTACGGTCGCACGTCTTTTGTCGAACCAGCATGCTCAAAAACCCGCCGAAAATCGTACGATTGTCGGCGGGTTTCTAGCCTGCTCGTTCGATAGCTGTGGAACGGGCCGGTGTGCGCACGCGCACACTGCCCGTTCTGCATTGCGGTCATCGGAAGCCCGCCCCTCAGCGGGGCGGGCTTTCGATGATCGCAAGTACGATCTGCCCGTCCAAGGTGGGCAGATCGTACGAGCTTTCAATAAGCATACGACCATCGCAAGACAAAAGTCTTGCGATGGTCGTAAGGTGTATGGGCACCTTTATACACGGAAAAATACAGTATTTCCTATGCTCCTCAGCTCCATCTAATGACCATATTGCAGTATTACAATATTACATTACATAGATCAGTTGTGGCAACTAGAAACATTTGCAAAAGTGGGAAGGACCCAAGGACACAGCAAGATAGACATTTGTACTTTACAATGTTAGCCTACTTACTGCTGCAGATCTTGCTCATTTTACCTCCAAGGATTAGGACAGCGATTGGAAAAATCTCCCAGCATGCACCTCGCATTTCACAAGTGTGTGTAATAGCAATTTAGTGTACCAGCTTTTGCCCAAGGCTTCTTGTAAATTGTGAAGGATAGGAAGAAATTTACAGCTGGCAATTGCTTCCAGAGAGTGCCTACATACTGCTATGCAGCTTTTACTAAGGTTTTAGTATTAAATGGATTTGTTTAAATTAATTTATTTAGTTTTAAAGGGATTTTTTTTTCTTTTTTTTTGCATTACTGGTGACTAAGTCCTGTACATACAGGCTTAAGTATGTGAAAGAGAAAGGAGCACAGCAAGCTTTTACAAGAAATGAAAACATGTGCTATGTTCCTGACACGGATTAAAGCTGAAGTGAGACATGTACAAGATTTTTGCAAAGCTTTCAGAGAAAATGTCTTGAAGCTTTTAAAGCAAACTTCAGGCCCATTATGGGGATGTTAAGCAAAGATCCTATTGGGAAAGCTGGCTCTCAATTTAAGTAGTGCTGATGCTTAGTGAAGCCAGCTAGCAGCTCGTTTTAAGTGACAGTCAACTCGCAAAGATCTTTATTTAACACTTCAGGTCCCACATGTTACACCCGCTTCCTGTCCTAGACAATTTTTAGTGCTATGTAGGGTTGCCACCTTTTCTTCAAGTGAAACCCGAAAACACTCTAGCACCGAGTGCTGCAATTTTATTTTGGAGAATATAGAGGAGAGAACGAGATGAGGCAGCCAGGGGAGGGAGTAAGGAGACCAGCTATAGAAGATTACAAATCCCAGCAATACATTATACAGCAATACAAGATAATATGAAGCTACATACTCTGTGCTGTTCTGGGTTGGCGCCCTGATGTCTCCAGGTGGCCGGGTAGCCTGCTCGTGCTCTCAGGTGGGCTGTGCGACTCTCAGGTGGGCT